TTTTTCATGATGATATTGGATCTTGGGAGTAAACACAGCACTGACTCTCGCTCAGAAGAGCATCCTCGTAAAGAAACTTGAACAGGTATATAAGTGGTATAAAACCTTTTTTAAATATCCTTGGCGGTCTGCCTTTTCTTTATTTATGTTACAGCTCCACTGTGGTATTAATACCTCCATTGTACTGTTTAAAAAGTAAATTTGATTCACTCTAAGTAGCAGTTGCATGTTCCACAGAGGAATCTTAGTGGCCCAGAGAGTTTTGAGACATTGTGCCTTTATGTGAAATATTTAATAACCACTTTTCTAAACAACTGCAGCTTGGTTGCCCTTGAGCAAGGCTCCACAATGGTTGCGTCCATATTAATGCCTGCAGTAGGGACCAGTAGTAGTGCTAAAGACCGTGCTGAATCTTGTCATGACCTTATTTGCACCTCAGGGAGTAAAGAGGATAATTAAGTAAGTAGTGTGAGTTGCAGCTCCCAGTTGTGATTATAGGTTTTCTAACAATCCCTTCATGTTTAGTTTCTTCCACCTCGGCTTGCCTGACCAAGAAGCTCGTAAGGCAAGAATATATAAATTCTGGCATAAATATTAACATGTAGTATTGTGTGTTTGTGTCAAATAAATATGAATATATTGCTGTACTTTTTGTTTTTCACAGTTAGACAGTTTTTGCCTTCAAATTAGGTCGCATGCATTAAATGTTATAAGAGCCCGAGTCTAAATTCCTTTCTCTTTCTTTATTTTGTAGTCATACCATACCACCAAAACAAGTGGAAATGCAGACGTGGCATATTTTTCTCCTGGTGTCGCAGAAGAAAATAAATGTTGCTTTGCTTGCACTCATTAATCCGAAATAGTCCAAACAGCGAGTAAAGATGGATAATGTTTTTTTCTGTCTCTTCTTCCCTCCACAATTCCCTGCGTAAGACTAATATTTACCTGCGCCTCGTATGATTGAAACAGGAGAAGATAAGGTGGGAAGAGGAAATTGTATTTTGCATTTAATGTATGTGATAATACTTTGATATAACAAATTAAGTCATATATGCATTGGGTCGTAATCAAGGCCACATCTGCTTGGGTAATCTATGATTTGATGCCTGAAATGTGGTGTTTATGTCTTAACGTAAATCATAAATATAGTCAACCAGTGAACACATAATCTGTACACAAATGTAACCTAAAATAAAATTTGTACAGTGCTTAAAATTTAAACTAAAATACCTCCAATGTCATGGAAAACACTAAAACAGCCCTTACATAAATTAAAGTTAGTCTGATAAACCAGCCAGATATACCGGCCAATATTAGCTTATTGCATGTATATCAGTATTAGCCTATGATAGCCTTTAAGTAACATGGAATTGCAGTAAATGAACGTCAAACAATGTTTGAGGTTATTTAAGAAAAGTGTCACCATTACGTAGCTTGTCCACCAGAGAGCGCTGACAAGACAACTGTGAAATCTCCCGCTCAGTATGAATCTTGTTCAAAATAAAAAAAACATAAATGTTTTATGTTCTGTGTAGAGATGCAGCTAATGATTCTTTTCATTATTGATTAATCTTCTGATTATTTAAAACAAAAAATAATTCTGTTTGACCAATTTATTGAGCAATTGTTGAAGCTCTAGTTCTGTGTTTATGTAAAAAATAACATACTATTGGCCAATATCCAATATAATAGATTTCTTAGACTCCCAGATATCACTATCAATATCGGCCTCAAAAAATTTATAAAGTAAATGGTAGCCAATGATACTTCCCACAGTAATCTTTGACTGTGACTGTGTCAAAGTATGAGCATTTCGGAAGATGTAATATGAGGCAGCTGAGTTTCTTTTGTGTGATTCTACTGTACTGAAATGTTTGTGTCCACCATGTGCAATATATTAGAAGCTGGAGAGCACTGAGATGCCCAAATCTCGTTCTCCAGTGCTGATCCGGCTGTATTATTTACATCGTACAGGCGCTTCAGGACTGCACAGCGGTTTAATGGTGTAACTGATTAGTATCAACCATCAAGTAGCATTACATAATCATTTTTGTGGTATGGTGATGGAGCTTCTAAATGTGCCTGAATACTTGGTGTATGCAGGTTCAGTGAAGTCTTAGTCTCATGAGGATGTTTGGAAACGGAAAAGGAAACAATTAGGCATTCACAAGGACAACAAAATGTTATCATGTTGTTTCCAAACATCTGCTGTCACTACAAGCAACCACCGGTGCATTCAGGCAAACGTCGCCAGTTAATAGGGAAACTAGTTGATCCGTAACTCTGGTACTCTGACTCCTTCCTCCCTCCTTCCTCCCTACTCCCTCCCTACTCCCTCCCTTCTCCAGTGGTTGTCTCACATTCTGTATGCTGTCAGAACTGACAAAATCGCATCTTGTTAGTAATGTGAATTATTATATAAATTTTAATGGCCAGTGCTAATTAGTAGTGATTTTGCTGTTGCTGTTGCAGTTCCAGTTGGCATTGATGCATTTAATACAGCGCTCTTGAAATAGATGTTGTTATTGCTGACATGGTCAGGTTTTGGTAACAAACAGCACAGAATTTCAGCACATTTCGGAATAATACTGTCTTCTTTTGTTAGTTTAATTACACTGTGAGGTAAAATAGAAACCAACCTAAAACCCTAACAAAACACTTTCTATTGATCCCGAGTCCTCAGAGTTAGATAGCAGGTAAAAAGCCCTTGAAGCTACAGATAAATAAGCTCTGACTTCTTCATCCGGTTTGCCAATTTTTTTTTCTTATATTTAACACCTGTTTTACTGCTACAGCTTTCAGTCTTTTCCCTTGTGCTTTTGATATGAAATATACTAGCTGTGTGTGCCAGTATCTAAGAATATAAGAACAACCCTGCCACTACTTTACGAATATCATGTTTCAATTATGGGCTAAATATTACTCAAATCAACAATGTTAACACCTCCATCTTCTCTTTACAGTAAGTTTTAGAGGTATGTCAGATTTTGAGACTTGGTTTGTATAAAACCTGATGTGGTGTTATCCTTCTTTCTCTGTACAATGATGCAACCAAAAAAAGTATCATCATTTAGGATAAGTTAATTGTATATGCATCCAAATGCATCAAATTAAATAGAAGCAGAAGTACTGTTTGATTACAAACATACCTTTACAGATCTCATAAATCTAAGCAGAGCCCTTTATACTAAAGCATAAAGTCTCATTGTCTCCGTGTATTTAAGGAGGATAGGATGGGAGAAAACAAACACAAGAAAAACAATACTGCATGCAGACATTTTGAGGAGAAATGGCTCATTATATCTCCTGAAAAAGCATAAACACGCTGCTGTCTCTCACTCACACACGCATCCAGGTTGTCATGTGCTAATTGATCTAAAAATGAGACCCAGAGTAAACAAACAAAACAAAAATCATATAACCTTTATTTATAAGCAAATATGCAAATAAATCATAACTATTGAGTATTCATTAACGTTCAAATAAGCAAGAAAGGCACAGAGGGAGCGAGTGCAGAGTTCCTCCTCAGCTCAGTCCCTGACAGAAATGTGTACGCCTGAGAAATAATACTACTAATAATTTTGATAATTATTTCTTCAATTGATCAAGAAGGGCACTTCTGCCTCTGGGGGGGAAACAGCACTATAGCCCCAACACTGCAGGTCACTGAATGGAAATTCTGTTTACACTCTAGAGTGAATACATTACCACAATTAGGCATTGATGTATTACACGACAATTATTCATTGCACTAAGACTCATGGTCCATTAGAGTTAATTTATGTGCGTTGAAAACAAAACGTTACCTTTACAGGCCTCTGGATTGGTACTTGACTTGAGTCCTTGGCAGACACAGCACTGACACCCTGCCCTCCCAGTCTCCAGGCATTATGTGTTTAACTTTTATCCTGTTATAGCTACAATCAGTGTGAAACAAAAATCCTTTCCTTTAAGATTGTCCTGACAAAGGTCTGAGGATCTCATCTCCAAATGCTTTTCATATGGCAAAGAATCAGTCAATTATTTGGAAGCAGTGCAGCAGTCCAGGATTAAGTGACTTAAGGAGTGCAGCAGACAGCAGCCTCCCTCCCCCTTGCTTTTAGCCTCAGAGACTTCCACAAACAGCATAGCTTGTCAGGGCTGATTGCAGTGGCACTGGGGCAGATAAGTCAGTCTTACTATTATCCTATGTAAGCTAGGAGTGCCAAATTACAACTTTAGCCTTAAACCCCCACAGAGTTTACTTACGAATGTCTTAAGCCACAGCAGAGAATAAAAAAATCCTATACTAAAAACAAAAAAGGCTAAGGTTTGAGGGGGGACAAAAAGAAGTGTCTCATGGGATGTGTGTATACATCTCAGTCTGGATTCAGTTAAGGCTATTGGGTCTCTGCTGTCTTTTTATTGCTGTCAGTGTCTTCCCTGGCTCATAACTATGATGTTCTGACAGCTTTATAGGGACTATAATTTAAATGTATCTCTACCATGCCATCGATTCTCCCACCACTTCAATGTCATGTGTGTCTGGCTAGTCTAACATAAAAATGTTGGCACAGTTCCATTAGCAGATATAGATTTTCCCACCCATGCCTGAGTCATTCATGTCTTAAAACACTAACAACAAGGGACAGTTTTACAACAAGAGCATTATTAGATTAAAACGGTGAGGCTTAGTTCCAGGGACAAATCAACAAAATGAACTTGCGGCAGTTGCCATCAGTTTGTAGATGTATTGTTATTTTCATAAAAATCCCATTGTTAATGTGCATGTTTCAATAATAAACACATGGCGATATTTTATATTTCCGATATTGGCCAGCTGAAACCTCGCTCTACTCTTAGTGTTCTTTCATTTTCTTCTGTTCCTTTTCTCCTATTTTATCTCCCTCACGTTCTATTGCTCCCTCCATTTACCACCAATTCAATTTCTCCCAAGCTCCTTACTATGTGATTTATGACTTCTCCTGTGCCATAAAAACTGGGAAAATAAGGCTTTTTACCTTGCCCACGTACTGCGGGTCTGACCCCATGTACTCCTCCAGTACAAAGAACTGGTTCCACACCCAGCCCCTTTTGACCCGTTGAAATCCAGCTGCCCCATTCCTCATTGGGCCCACCAAGCTCCTGGCGTGCTCCCTCCCCGTCCTGCTCCGTCCCAGTGGTGGTAAAGGTGGACGTAAAGAAAAGACTGAGCCGTCGTCGACTAGAATCCACAGGAACAGCAGCAGGCAGTTCCTTGTTAGCATTGGCGATCTGTGAGGTTCAGGTCCCCAAGTTAAAGTCCAGTGATGAAAAGTGAGCCACACTGAAACTACTTGTGGACGTGGTTATGGGAAACGGGTGAGGTCGGGGCCCGTGCCAAGTGTGGCAAACACAAAAGCAGTTTTTCTGGGCCTGTCAGGATCCCACTCAGAGATTTATGAAGGTCATCACCTGAAAGAACACAAATACATAGTTTAAAAGGTTTGCATCTTGTTGAATCCACATTACTTATATTAATGATACAGTCTTATTATTCTGATTAGAGACAGTCTCATAGCACACATGGTCATCATATATAGTAAGTATGGGATGTTAATAGTGTATTGTTCATGAATACCAATCACCAGGTGGCACATACTCTTTACCCCGAACTCTCACCTGCTGCTCAGTGATAATTGATAATACTGGCATTCTCAATCAAAAAAGAAGTGTTTTTATTTGCCTGGTGACAGACTGCCTCTATACTAGAGATTTCTCTTGGATGTATTCCCTGATTAGCTAGATTACTTGTCTCTGTAGTGAAAACTGTGACTCTGTTTTGGCTGTCAATTACAGGCCAAGACCTGTCGGTGTTACAACCGTTTCTTGATTGCCCTTAGAGGTTGAAAGTCATGTATTATTGAATGACAGCGTAATGAGAGGGTGCTGATGAGCTTTTATGTTTCGCTTCGCAAACCTTGTCTTAGTATTTATTTTAATCAAACAGTTTCAGAAAGCTGCTGAACAAACGTGCAGTAGTTGCATCAGTTGCAACCATCTGAAGATACAGCATGATGCACTGGCAGTTCATATATCAAATTGACACATGTACCGTGTGAGATGTCAGCGCAAAGCAGCATGCACACAATGATTTCTTTAAGATACGTTGCTTTTTCTGAGACATCACTCCTGTGAGGAACACAACTGATTTGACAACCAATGGCCACAGGAGATTGTTCCGCTTCTCGCCGCATGTCATTTGACAGACATGCATTCTGTGAAAGAGGCAACTCATACAGAAGATTACCATAATCCAGCTCACAGACATGCAATTGAATATTTAATTTGTTCTTCCAATATGTTCTTTTATGTCTTCACATAGATCAGTGGAAGTACCAATTGGCTGTAAGCACGGGCTGGATGGCGCATATCACAACATTGTCATGCCATGTCATTGAGCCTGACTTTGTGTGTGATTAGAGAAACAAATAAATGTATTTTGAAGGCATATATTTCAGCACGTTTCAGACAATTTTTATACTATTCAATCACATTTGTTTGTGTTCCTTTTTAAAGCAATACAAGTAGATTTGACAAGTAGAATAATTTAAATAATTTCTGGTGCACTTTAAAATAGTGCCCTAATGCAATCGTTGTTGAATACAAACCAAAGGAAATGCAGGTACTGAATAACTTGTGTAAGCACTTTTATAAAAACAACAAAAGTCCATCCAGCTCAATTGTTACTCTTTGTGATTTATGAAAGCTCTGACTGTTGATTTGTTGTCAGGTTTGTGATGTTTGGAGAAGTAGCTCATTCTTATAATTAAAAGACCTAAAACTTGATTTAGTAATTCAACAATTATTCATTACACAGCCTAAAGCGTAGAAGAAATAAATATTACAGAACCAACCTAATTTGTAAAGCCTCATTCATTATTGAGCAAACAACTATTGCACGGTTGCTGTTCACACCTTGTTTGCAATCCTGACTACCTTATCAACACTCGAGCATTCAGCCCTGGCCTTGTTAGGAGACACTTAATTGCACTGAAAACAAGAGACGGGAACCACAAATGGTTGGAATGAAGAATGGAGCTAATGGTTTCCACACCTGGTTTATTGTTCCTCTCTCCCTCCTAATGCACTTATAAGCTGTACAGTAATGGAAGACAGCGTGCCTCTAATTTCATAACCGGAGCCCTCATTGACATCATTGTCTTTGATTAATTATACAGACTTGGAACATCGGCTTCAGAGGGAGATTACTTCAACAAGGTTATGCCGTGCACCCAGATCCATTTATTCTCTGTCACCACAGTATCTTAAAAGTCAAAACTGATCTGCAAAGTTCTCCGTGCAAAATTGGCAGGAACTATCTTGACACGGGTCAGACATGCCTCTCCCGCAGGTCACTCCTCATTTAGCATTGACATAATGGAAAATGACTGTTCCCATAATTCCTGCAAAATCACGCCTCTGCCACTGTACGGCCCTGGGAGGGCTTGATGCATATTTTATGAGATAAGTTCATTAGCATGTGTCGGGCTTCGGTTGTGAGCCTTGACCCGCGTGTCTACTTCAGATAACACGACGCAGTGGGCTGACAGCGTTCTCACACATCACCTTCAATAATCAAAGAACATATGGCTAGCCGATCTGCTGGTGCAGATTACCACCCACAAGAGACTCCCACAGAAAGTTATTAGTCGTCAAGGCTGGCATAAACACGACAAACAAATAAGTAGGCATTGACTTCTGAAATGGAGGGGAGAAATTAGTCATTGATCTGGATCAAGTTCTTGTTTCGCATACACCTCATTTCCTGATAGATATGTGGGCAGATATTCTGTTTTCCCCTCTTCTTTAACAACTGCAGTGTTTTCCATTGTGAACCATCCGGAGACATAAAGAAGGCACAGTTGTTTTGATAAGGTTATTTACCTGCCTACTCATGATTCAAATAGGAGTTAATCATCTTTTCAAATGTAAAAAAAAAAATGGGATGTGATTTACATTTGGAGTAGAAGCATATTAATATATTTCCTGGAGGTAGAACTGATATTTGATTTTGATTAAACTACTTAATGTGTAAATTGGGAGGGTGCTTTATATTGAGTCATCACTCTTTTGTGTCAGTTTATCGGGCTAATATTTCACGCTATTCAAAAATGCAAAAACTGTCTAATGACCGTGCAACCAAACCATGTACATTTCATGTTACGAAGGCAGCAGTGGTGCAAACCTGAGATGTATATAGATAACACATAGATAATGCAATAGGATAATTTCCTGTAAACCCCGTCACTGGCTTAAACATTCTGCATTTAATAATTTAGAGAATGTTGAAGTTGAGTGTATGGCTATGAGTTAATGGACTAAAATGTAGGATGTGTTGAGGTGTCCAGGACATAGTTGTGGGAAGTGTCATGATGAGAGCATGTGTTGCCAGTCCTTTTGGGAACCAATCTGGATTCTTGGTTGCAGCAATGCAATTTTTTCCTCAGACAATACATTTATTTTAAAAATTGTATGTATAATTGCTATTAAAATTTGTTGCACCAATGGAAATTTCCTGTATCACAATTTTCCTCAAATATTTGCTATAGATCCCCCTAACACTCTACTTATCTAATGTCTTTTTGTTTCTTAAAGTGCTCATCCATTAGTTCTATAATTCAACAGTGTAATAACATTAAAAGTAACAGAAGCTGAGATAACTAACCTGTGAGACAATGATTAGCAAATAGAAAGGCGATTAGTGTTTTCAAGTGTTAAACAGACATCTAAGGAAGCAAACTTAAGCATTGAATCAATATTGATGAATGCACTGCAGAGCCGGTTTTAAGCTCTTGTTCATGAATTATAATCACGTCATTAAGCAGACATTATTTGAAGAGAACACAGCGAGAGGCTAGTGATTTTGTTTAATGTTAAATTAGAATAATATGCTATGTTTTATTTTATATGAATATACATTTTTATGTATCGACAAATAATTAAATTATGAACATGTATAGTTTATATAAAGTGTGTGACATTTATTTGAATTTATAAAAGATAAAAATCTAAATGTAGAATTTTAGCAAAAATTAGATATGCTTGAACAACAATAAACAATGATTTGCAATTAAAAGACAGAAAAGCAACAGACTGACAAAGGACTTTGTGCGTCTTTGCACGCACATAAAAAGACCAGTAGCATACTACTGTATAGTTTTAGACACATAAAAGTGTTCTTTTACAGATATTTTGAGATTCAGCACTGTCACCACAGTGATCACAACAGTGACCTCACTTGATCTACAGCCCTGACTGATGAGGAAAATATGAGCACAAAGGCTTCACAGATGAAGGAAAAGAGTGTTAGTCAGGGAAATCACTGTGAAGACATTGTTTTTGTGCGGCTGAGGCCAAAAAAGACTAATATCATTGAAACCCTTCAGGGGAAGGGTGGGAGGAGAGAAGAGTAGGTGGAAGCAATGTAATGAAAATGAGAGTAACAACACAGCTGGCCAGTCAAGCTAAATTATCAAAGAATACCTCATGCGTAGGTTATAGCACAACCAAAGTAATGAATAGTGAATAAAATGGCTCTGTTAGTTACTCAGACACGTCTACTCATTTACGATGCAGTTTGGCTTCAGCCATCCTGTTGGCATGGCAAAAAACAAGGTAAGTAGGTATGAAACATTGATTCTTACTGTGAAATCCAAGGCACCCCAGTGGATGTGTTGCTTTGTTGGGAACATAAATATACTTCAGTTTTTAAGAAATCTTTCAATTTTTAATGTTCTGTATGTGACATTCATTGGAGGGCTGCTTGCATGCAAGGCCTGTGCACAAAGCTGTGAGGAGCACACAACTTGGTTCCCTGAACAATGGAAACATTAATATGATCTGATGAGTCGTGTTCCCCTCTTTTTCTTTCATCCCACGCACATTATGTTTGGGGAGAGCCAAAGGATGCCTTCTACTCACATTATGTCTGGGCAGTTGTTAAGCTTTATGAATGCTGTGGGCACTCATACCAGGAATATGATGAGTTTTTACACAGTTCAAGGCCCCCTCTGTATGACAGTGATGTGCCAAATATAATACAGCCATAATGTTCCCACCAAATATTTGGGTTAAAGTTAGACTGCATTTATGAGAAGTTCTCTCTCTCTCTCTCTTTAGGACAGTGCTTTGGGAAGACTACAGATGATTTGTTTGTTATATATTGATCTTATTTTGTCCACACCCTCATCCCATTACAGGGGTTTTGACCAACAGAAAACCAGAC